GTCTATTGTCGTGTACCTATTATGTTCTGAGTTGGATTGTTGTTGTTGTTGTTGTTTGTACTTTTGTTGGAGGTATAGATATGGGTAGGTGTGTGCACGACGAGACTGTTTGTTTTGCGGGTTGAGTGTCAGTTTCTGTCGAGGGAACGGCGGTTTGTTTGTTCAACTTTGCGGTTGGAAGGATTCGAATCGAGGCTTTTATATTTTTTTGGAAGTATATGGTCTTCTGAATTTTTTTTTTTACGGAAGAGATGATTTATTAAAAGACAGGGTCATAAAAGTTCAATATTTCGTGTACGACATTAAATTACATAAATTACTTGTCAAAATTATATACAATTTATATGTTTTTTTTTTTAAGGATTATTGTACCAACCTACAATTTCAGTATTCATAACGAATTATGTATACCTACAGTCTCTTCACTTTTTCACGTAATTTTTATGTTGCTACTCTTAAGCTTATGATCTAATGTTCATAGCATACGAGTAATTTTGATTTTTTTCGTAAAATATTTAACTATAATTTTATGGAATGCTAACAAATTGTATTTTCTATTTTAAATGATGTAACTTTTATTCCAGGAGAAAAAATTTTATCCTATGTACTAAAAAAAAAAAATATGTGCGTTTTTCTACTGGCAAGTAGATACAGTCCAAGTTTGGTAAGGCACGCCGAGAAAATCCTGCGGAAAAGTCAATACAACATTCAATTTTATGCATAAACGAAATGAACATTAACTCTGCGGAATCCAACAAAACACACTCGATATAAAAAAAAAATGCTATAAATTGTTTTAAAATGCATATTGGTGAGAAATGAGTACATAAAATACACACACACACCCAACCAGTGGGTACCAATAATAAAATCGCACGAGGTCGAATCAATTGTATAACACACGAGCGCGTTGACGCCTCTTCCGTGCCTCCTCGTTTGTCCAGTGCCCGTTTGCTTTTTTTTTTTTTATTCTCTCCACTCCCACTGTACAACACCTACTTAATAAGTGTATACTACTGCATACAAGCTCACATGCCTTATACGCGAGTGCAAGCTATTCCACGAAAAATCAGCTTTTGGATTATCAAAGGAAAAAAAAATAAAATAAAATTAAAATATCATTCTTTTGTGTGCTTATTAATGGTAATTCATTTAGCGCTAAATATTCCGTAAAAAATATATCGCGATAGCCGCTAAACGATTGAATTTTGTTACCACGTACAGGTTTTCCAATTTTCTTTTTGCAAAAACACATCATTAAAATTTATTTTTCAAACAACGCGTTACGTATGCACTTTTCACGGAAACGCTCGCACACGTAGTCCGGACGAGCTGTGCTACATAAATATATGTGTATGTGTGCACAATCGTGTCTGCGTGGGATATCCAAGAGCGTATATTATGCGCGCATTGATGGCACTCGGCGGCGCACAGCGCGTGTGTAGGTAATGATGTAACTAATTCATCGTGAAAAGCGAACCTACATTACATACCGTATACTTTATACGTCTATGATATACTCTTGAGCTTCTAATTATTACCCCATTTTCCCCGACTCTTCGGTGTACCACATTCATTATATATCGCGCAAAGTTTCACGTATACAGATGCATCAATATATTTCAGCACACACGAGTGCTCGTGTATGATACACTGTTAACATGTATACACGTATAGGCGCTCCCAACGTGGAGGCTTGCACCATCGCGCAATGCATATAGCTTCAGCCCGATCCGAGCGGATCTTCGTCATAACACATTGTACTTACTTTTGCGCACGTGTGTGTACGCGCGCGCTGAGCCAGCCGCGGTGCTTTTACGATATTGTGCCCAATTAAAGAAGCTGCTGAGCAGCACCCACGGTACGGTATGATATACAGCTATACACATTGTGGCCGTGTATGATTACAATGACGTTTTGGGTTACAACGTTTGGATCGCACCACTGCGTGTGCATGATGCACATTTCGTCAGTTCTAATGTACAGAAAACTCATACTTTCGCCCATTTGCTGATGCGAACAAACATATATGTACATACAAGTACAATATGTTCACCAAGGTGTCACGTTCCTGCGGGTTAATTAAATCTTTCCCGCGAGTATACTTACACCTATATGTATCTATGTTGTCCTCTTCACTTCTTCTTCTTCTTCTCATCTCGCCCATGCAGGAGTCTTCTTTCGTTACGCACACGCACAAGAGTATGTGTCACTTTCGAGTTGCACTTATCTACTTTTGTTGTTGTCGCAGTTTATTCAGTCGCTGTAGTTCGAGGTCTACTGCAATTAGTTTGCAATTTAGCATAATTAAGTGCAATTTGGCATGCCATCGCTGCGCTTGACTACCGCGCCACCGCAAAATCGTTTGGGCCGAACCGTGCATGGTTTTCCCTCTTTGTACTCATCGCGAGGTGTGGCACTCGATGCGTCAAGTGATAATAACCATGCATTATTATTATTATTATTCTTTATGTACGCATAAACATGTATACGCGTGTGAGCGCGTGCAGGTGATGTGCGTGTTTTTTCGTTCGTCAACGTAGCCCTTGGACCGATGCGAAACGCTCCCTGGACTCATACAGAGATACGTTTATGGCGTTTTTCAAAGTTGACGTGCAGCGAGCAAGAAAATAAAAAAAGTGTACCCCTTTGGCTAAAATAGATCGAGATGAAAGCGAAAAGTACGATAAAAGTCGAGTGCGCGAAAAAAGATTCGGGGGCGCAAGGGCATTTAGGAAATTGGACCTTTTGCGATATCGAGGCATACAAAGTTCTTCGCCACCGAGGCTCCGAAAAGTAATATCAAAAATGCGAGAGGTTGGTGTTTTTCATCTCAATGTTTTGATGAAACGGAAATGAAAAAAAAAAAAAAAAAAAAAAAACAAGCCAACTCTACAGATTTCGTTGAGACTCCACGTATCGTACGTGATATATTATGTGCTCTCCAAACGTGATTAGATTGAAACAGAAAACCTCCTCATCCTCGGCTAAAGTTACACTACCACCGTAGACGATACAAGTATCTTACCAACGCGACACCGTCAATTGAACACAATATTGTTGTTATTATCATATTCCCGGCGCCGAAGTAGACACTACAAAAACTCCCCCATCCACACACTCAAACTCAAGAGTATCGTACCATACACGTGTGTGTGTGTTTACGTGTGCATACATGTAACCGAGCGGAGTAGCGAACAATTAAGTAGTCGCTAAGGCCTTGAATTTTCCAAACAAGCCTTGGGTATCGCCTCCCGGTGTAATCCCCCGCAAGCGCGGCAGCGAGTATTAGAGCACTTGTATACATACTTCAGCAGCTGCACCTCATCGGCCGCAACGCAAGCTCGTCTTACCTATTATGCCTTATATGCACGAGGCGACGATGTTGCAGGTACCCATACACGAGTGAACGATCTTACACGCTCTTACCGCAAGCTCAGCGGAAACAAACAAGGCAAAGCTCGATCGAGGGAGTATAGGCTCCGCTCCCCCTGCGTACCTCGCGTCTCCCTTTTTTTTGCGTGCATTTGTTATAACTTTGCCCGTCCAGTTGGGTTGTGCCATCACTCACTTTTGCATTAAAAAAAAAAATAAGGAAAAACATCACTAAAATATGTCGATTGAGACAAGGCGCGATGAGCGCAATAGTCGCTCGGTATACATTAATGGTGCGCTCCCGCTCCCTCCGACTCAAGCTCTACGCTACAATTGTACACACACACACACGTCATATAAGTACACCCAACACAGCAGCAACATCAGGAGGAGGACACACGTCAGGAGCAACGCGAGAGGGAGGGCGACTTCCGGCGATCGCCAAGCGTGCTTCCGTCCCTCCCCTCCCCCCTCCGGGGTATAAAACACATATATGCGTGTACATGTAGACGCACACGAAGTGGGTATATATGTTGTAGTCCCGAGCGCGTGAAAAATAAAGCGGAGCTCGGCTCCGGTAACCCGCTCTCCGCCCGAGCCCCCACAGCGCGTGTCCGGCTTTGAAAAACACACGAGAACCCGGCTCGGCGCCCAACATAATAAACCGGAAGTCCTCCACCACGCGACGAGCTCTCCTGGTTTTTGGGAGTTTTTTTTTAGTTATCCTTTTTTTTTATTTGTCATTCCTCTCGACTCCTCTCCTCGTTTTAATGCCAAAGAGGGAAAGTGGCGGCAATGAAGACGGGAGGACAAAGTTTCAGGGACGTGACGGTATCATACGAAAGGGGTGAGATTGTCATAATAATACGTTCCATGGTCATTTACCTCGAAGGATACGGGAAAAAAGGGAGAGAGAGAGATATATATATAGCACGCGATCACAATTGCCTCTTCGTTCTCAATTTCAAATGAAAGCTCCCAGGTGACAGTTATAATGCAGGGGGTGTATTATTATTTTTCACGGAGCGAGGAGTAGGAGGGGGAGGAGAAAAAAAACTCAGTCGTCTACGTAAGTACTTACACTCGAGGGCGCGAGAGAGCGAGCTCACGCGAGAGCTAACAAATTAACCGAGATACGGCCAAGTGTCTTCTAATTAGCAGGGATGAGCGCACCGAGCTGCACGTATATGGGTGTTGGGTGTCAGGGAGGGGGGTGGGAGAGGGCGCTCGGAACGAAAAAATCTGCACTCGCTTTCGCAAGTCGGATACCTTATATGTGGGTTTAAACTGAATTTCCGTAGGAAAAAAAGCTCCTCGTCCACCAAAAGCTCTCGCATTGAAGAGAGTGGAACGATGTTTTCGAAAGGAAAACGTCCGTGGCTCGGGAAGGGCGGGGGCGGGGGGAAGGGAACTTGGTTAGGTCGAACGAATTTATCAGCAGATGCGTGGGGGGATAAAAGAGAGGGGACAGCGAGCGCCCCCTTCTATTAATCTCGACAATCGGTACATTACCAACCCTCTCTCCCCACCTCAGCCCACCTATAGTTTGCCGATTTCTTTGGCGTCGGTGGCAATTAGCTTAATTAATCGAATTAATTTTCCCTTCTTGCTTTCTGTGCTTTCAGGTGCGCACCCTGTTCGTCAGTGGCCTGCCGATGGATGCCAAGCCGAGGGAGCTCTACCTTCTCTTCAGAGCGTACGAGGTTCGTGTCTTTCTTTCTTTCTTTCCATTCGGAGTACCTGCACAGCTATATATGACGACGAGTCGAGTGCAGCCTGCGGCCTTTTTTTTCTTATATTCATTTCTTGCTTCAATTATGGACGGGTATATACCAAGTTTTTCCACGATTCATGTTTTTTTTTTTCGTTCTAGACGCACGTAATTTTTAATATCCATCGAGTTTCTTTGGTTGCACGAGCTTTTGCTGTTTCTCTTTTTTTTTTTTTTTTACTTTGAACGGTAACTTTGGAATTTCAAGTACAACGCCTACGACTACCTATCGGAAAAGGTGTGTATACTTTTTGAAAAGCTACTGCAACGTAATAAGGTACATGTTGCGATGTCGGATTTTGCTTTACGTGCTCGGATTTTTTGAAATATTGTAAGAATTTAGTTTTGAAGAACATGTTGCAAGGATGTTACACTCAGTGGAACTCAGGTCTGTCCTAGAACTTATTTTGGAACAGTGACTTACACGCCATGCCGTTCCTAAATAAGTCATTTCATAGACACTGCGATATTCCACAAAGTCTTTAAAAACGAGGGATGTAAAAAACTTTTCTTAAAAACTGTTTAGTTATATTATATCCTCATTACGTTTTCGAGATCAAGTAGGAAAAATTTTTTGTTCATGGCCGTAAGGTGAAAAAAAGGCCGAAATCTCATATTACTTATTGCACCTAAACTTCGAAAATGTTGTAAGCATCAAAGTATTGTATATTTTTGTAAAATGACTTTAATAGTTCGTTCGATTTAGCCGTCGTTCTTTATGTTGTTCGTACCTAATCGTACCGTACCAGAGCCCGCCCATCATAGTCCATGCGTTCCTAATGTTAATTCCTTATTATGCAGCGAACGAATTTACTATCGTATACACCTAGGGGCCGTTCATTAATTACGTAAACACCTTGGGGGGGGGAGTATGTTATTTGTTTATTATAGATGACGTACGGGGGGGGGCATTCGAATTATTTTACGTAATCATCAGACGTTCGACATAAATGATTTTGTCTTTCCCGCGATTCATATTTCTAATACAAGGTTTCTTTCTTTATACTTTGCGAGTATAAAAAATGTACAAAGCCATAAAAAAGAAGTCCATCCTGGTCAAAGAGTAAAAAGAGTTGCCAAGAAAACTCCAGCACGTATAGTTAACAGTCGCAAAGACGAAGTGTTATGTATACTTAATGAGGGTGACGCAGAAGATGCTGAATGGTTTGCCGTCGAGGAACTTATCAACATGGATGTAAAGGAGTATCATGAAGACGTTGTACTTTTAGATGAAGAAAAAGAAAATCTACCTTTTATTCAATCCATAATAGAATGGTTAAAGTGTGATTGGGCAGACGAGAATTAAGTTTGTTCATTTAATTTCGTAGTTTTATGAAAAAATATATAATATTAAAATTTATTATTGTTATGAATATAAATATATACATGAATTTATGTGATTTACGTAACAAATTAATATAATGTTATATAAAACGAGGAAACAAAATTTATAAATGTTTTTGATAAAAATTATTTTTCTAATAATTTTGTTAATATTAATAATGTTAA